TTTGCAGAAGCTTTGATATAGGGAAGGGAGTCTCAGTACATAACACGTCTTTGTCAGAATGGGCTAGAAGCAGAGTATCTTCTAATTCTCTTAAAGGAATCTTTTCATCTCAGTTTTCCCATCTAACCAATACATGTGAACAATGACCTGCAACAGAAAAACACAAGCGATGATCATTTCAGGTAGTTCTCAGCCCTAACTGTGATGCTAGAAGATATTTTAGTAGATCATGGAAGTTGTCCTCTAACTTACTGAAAGTTTCTTATTGCATCATCAAGAAGAGGCTCTAAATTTTGTAATTATTAGTCCTTGAGGTCGGGAACTCTTTTGAGAATTTGATGAAATTATGAATGTTCTCTCCTCCCCCAATAAATGTGCACACACTATACATGTAAGTACTGATTTTACAAATTTTGGGAGGGCTTCCATACCTCCAACATCTGCGCCTAAAGCATTGCATTAAGAAAAGTTGTGCAGACAGACTGGGCTCAGCAGGAAAAAAAAGTGTCATGTTTGACTAGTGATGTCTTCCCTAATAGAGTGAGAAATGGGTAGTGGCATGTAGACCGTGAATTTACCATTTCTGATTTTTAAATCCTTCCCATTCCAATTAATTTATTCCACCTATGTTATTTTTTAATCGCCCATCTCCTCACTAGAACAGAAGTTGTCTGTTGTCTGCTGCTGTGCTCCAGTGCCTAGAACAGTACCTGGAAGAAAAGAGTGCTCTACATATATGAGTGTTATTGAATGAATAAATGTGTCGCCTCTTGAGGGTGCAGAGCTACGAAATTTACTGCTTTTTGTGTAAATTAGTATTTTCTTTTATTTATAATAAAATTATGTTCTTTGTTTCAAGGGCTATCTTCTATGTGTATTATTTTGAAATTTACAGGATAAAATTGTACTTGGTTCTTAGAACTTTTACTAATTTTAATTAAATATTGTTTTCCTTTTTATTTTTTCTATATGAATCTCTTTCCTCATACCACAAGACCACTATCCCCTCGATCATTCCACTCCATTGACTCTAAGGATGAGATATATTCTGTGACTTCAAATTAGAAAACAAAGTGATGGGAAAGTAATAATTTAGATAAAAACAAAATGAATGTCAGCTTTTCCAAATATATTTGCTATATTAATCAGTTCTAAATGTATGATATAGTGGAAATACTGAATATTAAAATATTACTATAAATAAGTATTTATTATTGGCAACAGCTATAGAAAGGCATAGAATAAATGTGGCTGGGGTGCTTAAAAACTATTTCCTCAGATGGTTTAAATACAGCCTCGGAAACTTGTTCCCATTTAAATTACTTCACAAACTATTTCCTCAAATATGTTATGAAGTCAATTTGAGCACTTGTTAACTTGTCGCAAATCCTGAGTTAGAAGACTGTTTATTAATGATGTTTTACTTTAGTTTGTAATTGCATTCCTAGGTTTAATCGATGACCATGCTTTAGCTTTTTTCTTGTATAATTTGAAAGAAAAATCAGCAAAAACTATAACAAACAACATTTGATAGTTGGTAGTGCAATATCAAGCTGCATCTTCAAATTACAACCAACAAAACTCCAAAAATCTGTTTGAGGACAAATGTTTAAATTTAGAACCAAGTATATGCAGTTAACATTCATAATTTCTTGGCAGTTCTCTAATTCACTGCCAGCAAACGTTCAATATATCTGGCTGATAATAAATATGGCGGGGACCCAGTAGGAACAGAAGTTCGTGATACAAAATAAAGCTGGTGTGAATTTATTGCTGCTGGTTTTAGGCTACCTGCCTCAGTAAGCCTGTGCACTGAAGTGACTTGATTTTTAGACTTTTCTGCACAATTATTCATAATACTCATGGCTATAGGCTCCAGGCTCTTGCATGTATGTTCATGCACAGCCATGAAACCTAGGCTGTCATGTTCCCACATGAGCCTTTAATGGACAAGAATGCTGCTCAGATCAAGAGATATGCATGCAAAGGAACAGGATTTGAGACAGCCCGAGGTTTCCTCTTCAAAGTCGGTTTAAAACATTTTTTTTTTCACTAACTTCCTTCCTGTTCTAACTGCCCGTACTCAGAAGTCAGAGTTGAGAGACAGAGGCACCCCGGACAGAGACGTGAAGCCCCGAATGTAAGTTGAAATAGCTCGGGTAGGGGAGGCTTCAAGTGGGCACCGAGCAAAGTAGGAAATCTCTCAACTAGGCTACTGTCCTCTACAGCTTATAATTTTTTAGAGGGGCAGTTTTTAAAACAAACTTGATGATAAGAAACTGCTAAAGAGGCTGCTGAACCAGTTCTGAGAAGGGAAGTCAGAGCAGGGAATGGGAGCGATCAGAGGCCAGAGTGTACCTGCAACCCAGGAGGTGGAGCCTTGAGTGTTCCAGAGCAGGGCTATGAGGATACCCACTGTGAGTGCCTGGAGGGGCTTCCTACAAGGCAGGAGCAGGCGTCTGGCCAAGCTCCGAAGCAAAAAGACTGCAGATCCAAACTGATATAGAACCTGTTGGTGGATGTTGGGTTGTGCTGGGGTGGAGGTGTGTGGTTTCCTGTTTTTACACAGTTTAAAGAGACTGGAGGAAAAAAAATGGTTCCAAGCTGTCAAATAGTAAACAGTTTTCCACTAAAGAATTTCCTTGTGATATAAAAGAAATGCATAATGAAATCTTCCCTTAGAGGACAAGGGGGTTTAGCCATTGAGGGGAAGTACGGTAGAGCACACTGTCATCTACTCATCAGTCATACGGTGACAGAATTTCTACCACTCACAAAAACCGTGTATTAAATTCCTGCAGTGAGCTGGGCAAAAAGATGGTCAGTTTTGCTGCCACGAAAATAGCCCTTTATATCTGACAGAACTAAATGCGAACATGGACGGTGCCAAATAATTTATTAAAGAGACAGGTTCTAGAAAAATCCAGTGGGCCCGGTTAGGATACCTGGTCAGCAGGCCTTCAAAACGTCAAGGTCTAGGTTTTGGTCGCCATTAGGAGAAGTGCTTTAGGCATGCCCTGAAATATTTTCTTCCCTATTAGAGGACATCCCAGCCAGCATGTTAATTAAACTCTGGACCTAGGGTAACTTGTGGTGTGGATCTGGTAAGCACTAGGCAGTTCTGTCCTCACGTGGAGACCAAGAGCCACTGAGATGAGGTTGGCATGTTGGATCCTCACTGCAAGGATAACCAGCAGGGGAAATCAAGAGGTTTAAGTTGGCCTGCGGGTTGGGGTGGGGGGTGGGCAGGCGGCAGAGGGATCCTGTCACCAGCTGTCATCATTAATCTTGCCATAGGTATGTTTTGTTTAATTTGCCAGAAAACATCCCTCCCAAAACCAGATATAGCACCAGCTTAGTAACAAGATCATTTTACTCTTCTGTGAGGTATATAGGATTCCGAAAGAATAGGTCATTCTCCATCCATGTTACACAGATCCAAAATATGAGAAATAGCCATGCTATAGCTGAACTAGCAGGCATCTTTCAGGTCTAGACTGGAATTTGGTCCTTCCTCGTTTTGGAGAGCATGAGTTCGTCGCTAAGGAAGTATGCTCTGATCAACATCAAAGTTCCATTTTCAGCAGAAGCTCAGCAGAGCAAAGTCATTCGGAGGGAAAGATGCGGGCCTGGGACAATTCATGAGAGCACAGTATAGGACAAACGTCAGCTAGCAGGAAGAGACGAGCCCTGGGGAGGAAAAATTATACAGACAGAAAAAGAGAACCAACATTTGTTCAGTGCCTTTTATGTGTCAGGCCTGGTGTTAGAAACTTCCAGATTTTAATTTTGAGAGGACAGGGAAAAAAGTGTTAAATGATTTGTCCCAAATCACATGCTATTACCAAAAAGCATCAATAGTACAATGCCTCAGCAATTAAGAAATGTCTCATGGAAGAAGTTTTCTCTAATCCCACATTCTGAGTGTCCCTATTCCTGTCATTCAGTGTTATTGTCACCTGGGATCCTACAGTAGAGTCTACACTGGGAAACCCAGAGTAGGGTCTCATGTTGTTCCTGAAACCTCAACAACATTTATCCTTCAATAAGCACTTACCAAATCACTCTGTTGTGTTACATTCTGGTTTCCACAACCAGAGCTGGTAAAAATTCACTTGGGCTTTCTTAAAGGGTCTGATTTTCTAAGTACAGCTGGTCATAAAAATTGTCTTTGACTTCTGTCTATGCTAATTTAAAACTTTCGTGACTATATTAAAGTTATTGAAGTACACAGTCTATTGCCTAGTAATGGCTTCCTTAGTGCAGTTTTCTCTGAGGATTATTTAAAATAATACTTGTGAAAGTATCTTGTGGAGTGACTTTACACAGTGGGCACTCAGAAATGCTCAGTGGGTCTCGAGTTCTCTCTCCTTTGCATAAGAATCTGTGTTAGCAAAGTATACTGTGAATGCACAGGCAAGAAATAATAGACTGTTTCAGCAAGGGAATGTTACAGAGTTCTGCTATCAGCAATTTGTACCCTCCTCTGGATTGATTATAATGTTTATTGTATCTAACAAAACGTTCTCCTCTCACACACCAGGCTGGGTCTTCTCATGCAGTTTTGAAGTTTCAGATGCTCTTTGTGGGGCTGAGGAGGTAGAAAACAGCCCAGAGGGGCCCAGGGAGTACCAATTCCTCCATGTTAGTACTAAGAGACCAGGGAGGACTCCAGAACTAAGAGAAGGCTTCTGATGTTCTGTGAGGGAACACAAAAATCACCAAATGTGCCAAATCTCCAGGCAAATAGCAAAGCAGGCTCAAATCCTTGACTAGAACTGAAATGTTTGTAGGCTCTCAGAGAGGGCTCTAGTGTCCGTGACCTACTCTACACCTGTAGGCCCATATCTGGGGAAAGTAGGACATATCCTAGTCAGCAGAGAGGGTAGATAACAGGGGTGGCAGGGAATGCTGGTGCATACTTGCATAGGGCACTTCTCCAATGGAAATCCCCTGCTTCTGGTATTTTCACATCCCCCCCCACTCCCTTGTCTCCTCCTGTCCCTCTCCCCTATCTCTTCCCTATCTCTTCCCTTTCTCTCTCTCTCTCTCTCTCTCTCTCTCTCTCTCTCTCTCTCTC